CGGCGAGCTTTGCAGCATGGGCCTACCTCCGGAAGGGCTGAACCAGATCCCAACGTGACTGGACTTGGAAAAAGTCTGGCCTCAGATCCGATTCCGGAGCCAAAGCCCGCAGCTTGGGCAAGCGCGTAATGGTGACAGCACCAGCATGTTTCATGGCTTCTAGCCACACAGAAACTTCACGAGTGAGGTGCTGCCCGGATCCCACACCCATCCCCTTCCTCTGCTACTCACACATTCACTCTCCTGCACCTCCACCGCTCCATTCCCCCCCTCCCCCATCCCCACAATCCAGTTAATTTACCTCCACAGCGCCGACAACACCTTCCCTTCCCACTGCGCAAGGCCGGCTCCAGGCACCAGCTTGCCAGGCAGGTGCTTGGGGCGACCACTCCGGAGATGGGCGGCAAGTCCCAGCTATTCGGCGGACGGTCCCTCACTCCCGCTCAGAGCGAAGGACCTCCCGCCGAATTGCCGCCGCAGATCGCGATCGCGGCTTTTTTTTTTTTGCCACTTGGGGCGGCAAAAACCCTGGAGCCGGCCCTGCCACTGCGGCATCCTCCCGGTGCCGGGGGGAGCGCGGTGGGGCCTGGTACCGGAGGGGAGGAGAAGTGGGATGCTGCTGCAGTGAAAGGCAGGGGGCTAGACTCCGAGGCCTGGGGAAGAAAGGCCCCACCGAGCGGCTAAGCCATAAATTTTCAGCTTTTAGGCAGATCGGAGGCGTCGCCAGAGAGAATTAAACCCCCCCCTCAAAAAACAAAAGGGGGTAAGAAAAAAGAAAGCGCCAACCCTCTGGTTTATGTGAAAATTAACTATTGAACTGAGCAATAACGGCAGCCGAGCCGGGGCCCCAACTGACAGGCGAGATAAACGCAAACTGCCGCATCTGTAGTCGGCAGCAAGGGCTCCTTTTATGTGGCAGCTGCTCCGTAGCATGTGCAACCCTCTGCTGCAGGCTGCCACCTTCCCGGCCCCTCCCGCCCGTTAGTTACAGCCGCGCAGAAAACTTTTGACGAGGGTTGGTAAAATTTCTTATCTCTCTTCACCTCCACCCGTGGGTTGCCTCTCCCAGGCCATTCGCTCGCTTGGGGGGAGAGACACATCTCAGAACGCGTCGTCAGCCCCACTGCGCCTTCATCCGTTGCCCTCGTGTGTCCCCTGTAGCCCTTTATGGGCCAGTAAATCAACACACTCGCCTCTTCCCCGGCCTGTGAGAACCTGTTCACGTGCCACCTCCATCCCCTCTGGGCAGCGGGAGAGGAAGCCTGACCACTGCTTAGAGCAAAGTGGAAACAACACCCAGAGTCTCCTTCTCTCGTGAGCGATTGGCTCTTAAAATGCCAGCTCCAGGGCCCTTGTTTATAGGGAGATGAGTGGACGGCAGTACTGATTGGCGGTAGCAGAACTAGCTAGCTCTCTCATTAGTGGGGTGAGACCATCAGCGCTCTCCGGGCAAACCCTCTGATTGGTGGCAGGGAAAAGGTGGCGCTCTCTGATTGGTGTCATGAGACCGCCGGTGCCCGCTGATGGGCGGCACGGGACCGCCGGTGCCCGCTGACTGGTATCACCAAATTCGTGTTGCTGTGACTAGCACATCAGCCTGTAGCCACGCCGCCTCGGACGGTGGTTTCACCAGATACCACGCTCTGACCGGGGTGTTTGTTCAGCAGTTGGATGGGAGAGGCCCCAGGGAAATCCCAGTTGCTGTTGCAGGCAGTGCAGGCGATGACTCAGTAGGGGGCGCTCTTCCCCCCCGTCCGTACTGAGCCAATACCCCCGCCGGGCCTCATCCACAGACAGAAGTGGGGGCTCCGGTCCCTTCAAATCACAAGCCTGTAGTGACACTTCACCCTCAATCGCACAGAGTAAAATCCTGACGTCCTTGGCTCAGACGTCCACAACAGTTCTGCCTGTGTAAAACTGAACCCCTAATGCTTAGTTTGCCAGTCGCTGTATTGGGCATAGGATCAGCCCTTGAAAAATGTCTCTCGGCTTTTGCTCATAAGGCAGAACAGTCGCCATTAATGGTCATCCCCACTCGCAGAGGCCTTACAACTGGTGGGGTTGCCACGGGCTAGGTCCCAGCTGGTGTAAATCAGTGTGGTGCCCGTGAAATCCAAGAAGCAATGCCACTTTACCCCAGCTGAGGATTTGGCCCTGTGTGTTTTACCCGCTGTGAGAATTGCTAGCTGGATTTCCAGAGACAGAACAGTTCCATTTGACAAACACGCGCTTGATTTTAAAGGTTTTTTTCCCCCTCCTAATAAAATAAATTAGCAGCCACAAAACAAGCAGATTGTTCTGCTCGGCAGTCTCCTGAAAGGCGTCTCCTGGGCTTTCGTTTGGAGCGTTCTGGTTTGAAAGAGAAGTCAGCACGACTGTCATTGTCTTCTGAGTGCAAGGAGTATTAATCCGTTTACTCTCGGCTGGGTGCTGACTTCCCAGTGATTCAATAAAAACAACGAGGAGGCCGGTGGCACCTTAAAGACTAACAGATTTATTTGGGCATGAGCTTCCGTGGGTAAAAAACCCACTTCGACACAAAAGCTTATGCCCAAATAAATCTATTAGTCTTCAAGGTGCCACCGGACTCCTCATTGTTTTTGTGGATACAGACTAACACAGCTACCCCTGATATTCAGTGATTCAATGTTCCTCTTCCATACCAGGCAGTCACATTTTGGGAAGGCCCTTTGGTTCTTACCAAAAAGATTTTCTGCTCCACTTGACTCCCGACAAACGTATGATT